GTTGAAACTGGGGTTCAAGAAGTGCGAGTCCGACCACTGCATCTACTTGAAGCGGGACAATCACGACATGATGTTCGTGGCACTGTACGTGGACGATCTGGTCCTCGCCAGCAGCAGCGACGGGATGCTGAAGGACACGAAGCAGGCGCTGAAGGACACGAAGCAGGCGCTGAGTGACCGGTTCGAGATGACTGACATGGGCCAGCTCAAGTACTTCCTCGGTATGGAGATCGAGCAAGATGTGGCGACTGGGAAGGTGTCGGTGCGGCAGACCAAGTTCGCGAAGGACATTCTCGAGAAGTTCAAGATGGATGAGAGCAACCCTGTGAAGACACCGCAGGATCCGGGTCTGAAGCTGACCAAGGCCATGTGCGAGGGAGGCTGCAAGCACGACGAGACCATGGCGAATGTTCCGTACCGGAACGCCGTGGGCTGCCTCATGTATCTCATGGTGGGGACTCGTCCGGACCTCGCAGCGGCAGTGGGAGTGCTGAGCCAGTTCGCAGCGGATCCATGTCCGACACACTGGCAGGCGCTCAAGAGGGTCTTCCGCTACATCCGAGGCACGAAGACGCACGGCCTCGTGTTTCAAGCGAGCAGCGAGGACGGACTGCAAGGCTACTCGGACGCGGACTGGGCCGGCGACATCGAGTCTCGACGGAGTACGAGCGGCAACGCGTTCATGATGAACGGCGGATGCATCAGCTGGCGAAGCAAGAAGCAGCGCACGGTGGCGCTCTCGTCGACGGAAGCCGAGTACATGGCGCTGTTGGAGGCCACGCAGGAGGCGGTGTGGCTCAAGGTGTTTCTGTGCGAGCTGGGCGAGATGGCGAGCGATGAAGGGGTGAAGATCTACGAGGACAACCAAGGCTCCATCGCGTTGGCCAAGAACCCGGAGTTCCACAAGCGCACCAAGCACATCGACATTCGCTACCACTTCGTGCGCGAGAAGGTGGAAGACGGTCAAGTGGTGTTGCAGTATGTTTCGACACTCGACATGCTGGCGGACATCATGACGAAGCTGATCGCGGCGCCGCAGTTCGACGCGCTCAGGACGAAGCTGGGCATCGTGGTCGCTGACGAGTCGAGTGGGAGTGTTGTCAAGACTGATGTGACGACGCCTCGCCAAGCGACCGTGTGACGCGAACGCGTCATCAGTGAGGTCGGCGTGACCTTCACTGTGTTGTACCGCAATCATTCAGGTGATTACGGGACGATGATTACGTCACGGTGATAACGCCATGCTTGTGGGTACAGGATTGTGGGTACAAGATGGGCATCGACGTGGCGTTCTCTGATTGGATAAGGTAACTGTGTATCCGGTAGAGAATCCAGTAGGGTGTATCCAGTAAGAGGTATCCAGTAGCTGGCTTAGAGGTAGCACGCGGTTGCGAACTAAGGACCTGAATCGAATCACTTTGCATTTTGCCAACTACTGCTCAAGTGCTCTTCCTTTTAATGGTT